CGTCAATTACAATTAAGCGTTTGTCTAAATCCTTCCTTTCTCACCATAGCATTTCGATTATGTCACAAGCCCTCATAAGCATAATTCGTTGTTTCCCTGCACACCCCTCACTCTCTTCTTTCAAATTATTCACTTACTTTTATACTTGTAGCTCTTGCTCTTGACGCAGAGCACAGCCACGATGGCTATGAGTATAACCACTGAGGCGGGCCGCCAGCGTTACCATGAACCAGGTGGTTCGGTAGAACGGCTGACGATATCTGGTGAGAACAGAAACAAACGGGTCAATATTCGTGTGGAGATGCGTGGGCAATGAAAAAGCTCACGGAATGAGTAGGGAGCTATGCTCTGAAAAGAAGCATTAAACCAATAAATCTTTTCGTTTTAAAAGAAATTAAACAAAATATAATGAGGTAGAGAAGAAAATAGCATCAGCTGCTTTTTATAAGCGTAGTTTTTGAACAAGTTTTTCATCCCAAAGTGTAGGAAAAAAATGGAGGCAGCTGGTGACCGGTTTCTGCTCTATTCGCACAAATGGGCTTAATAATTACCTCAGCAACAGTCCATATACAGATATCACCGAGGGCGCGAAATTTAAATATACATATATTGAATAATATATATTGAATAATATTGCCAGCTCAGTAACAGCTTTAATGCTGATTGAACATCTTCACAATATTCTAGTTTGAGTTCATCCAACTCTTCCGTAGTTACTTCTATGTAGCTCATTATCTGCACTGACTTGACTATTACTGATAGTGAGAGGTATTCAGCTTCGAGAAGTAGCAACAGGAGTACTTGAGGACAGTGATGGTTTTGATTGGAATAATATATTTAAGTGAATAGGCGGCAGTCTCGGGCAAAGTTGGCCTGGAGATAAATGTCGACGAACCGTTGAGAGTTGTGACGTAACATCGGCAACAAGTATCAACTTCTAGCAGATGGTCGCCGTAAAACTCCGTACACTACACAAATAACACAGTATCAGACTGCAAAAAATGTGTATAAACTCTCACCATCCCTTGACAAATTTTGGTCCCCTTATTTTTGGACGATACGACCTGTCTATAACGATTTTGTACGTTACGACCCCTCGCAATACTCACTGCATGAAGAGTTTGGACGGCGTGGCCACTGGCTGCTGCGACACCACTGGGAAGCTGACGCCGTGCTTGTTGTAGGCCATGAGCCGGAACCGGTACTCGGTGGACGGAAGCAGGTTGGTGTAGCTGACCACAAAGTCGGCCAGAGGTCCGCCGTCCGTGCGAGCCACGCGACGCCAGCTGTCGTCGTCTGGGGGGCACGAGAAATGGGAAGAGTCAGCTGGGTTGGAGACTGAGAGACGAACGACGGCGCGGGCTCGATTCCTAGGAGTGTGTGTTGGTGAGGGTTCGACTGTAAGGGCGCCGAATGGGTGCGCTAACAGGAGCAGCACAATCTGTGAAGCCTTTACCTCGCCAGTACAGTAGCAATTCTGCTATCTGCCAGCTGATTCACGATCGATAAATGCCCAAATCATAATGTCAAACTGCGTGACCTTTCAAAATGATCAAACTCAGTTTCCTTAGCAACAACTTTCTCCTGCGATAGCTATTTTCGTTTAGAGTCGCCGAATCAAATATTTCCGCCACATTCGAAACCACTCCACAGATGAGACCCACCGCCATCATTTTTGTACCGACTCTCATACCACGTCCACCGATTCACTTTTCGTTACATCACCGGTCTCTAGACGCACACCGAAAAATAATCTCCACAAATTCGGGCCGACGAACGCAAAAGCGTTCCGCAGCAAGCCTCGAGCAAAACAGAGCCATTGCGCTCTGTCAGTCTGGCCCCAGGCGAGTGGCTTAGAAGCGCGGGCAGATGTGTTCGGAGCACCGGTAAGGGCGATATATGAGATGTATCGAACGCGGCAGGCAGAGAGGAGAGACCGGACTAAGCTCAAAACACGGTAAAAGAGGCCGCCGAGAACAGTGAAGTGAAACTGAGACTTTGGTTGAGTAGTCGTTTGTGTGTGACATTACGCTAATGAAAAGCCACGAAGGCGGATTCACGTGAATACATGAACTTGAACTTATGGCGAAAAACTCAAGAAAGCAAAAAGAGGTAACTTACGTCTCGAGAACTAACAAGAAACAAAAACGTAAGACAACTAAGAAGAAAATGAAACATAACAAACAGAAACACAAACGAGCAGAACCAAACAAACAAAAGTGCAACACACGCAAACATGCGTGAATAATAAATCACACAAAATGTGTGCATATTTTACACGGCCACTCAGGAAAATAAGCTCAGTCATGTGTTTATTTCGAAACTCACACAAGCACACACACAGCACACAAGCGCGCAGCAAACTGTTAGAAAGCGGGCTGGTACAAAGCTCTTTGCCACACGCGGACATCAAACAAAACGCCCGAGGCTGTCTCTTCAATCCTGTCAACCCCATTAGAAGCGTCATCCACCCGCTGCTTTCATTCAAAGCCATGGCCCATGCGGAGCATTCCTTACCCACACAGCCTGTGAAGCCTGGAATACACGGAATCACGCCAGTAACAGTTAGCGGCCACGGCAGAGCACACGGTCACGCTCACACGGGTTGGGCACACGAAAACGTTACGGGTGGTGACTCCGGCTGGAAGCGATAGCCCACTCACACTGCTCTGTGGGGTGGCGCGCTGTAAACGAAGGGTGAGTTCTCAGACTCGCGTCATGGGCGGGGGGAGTGGGTGAGTGAATGAGTGAGTTCTCAGACTCGTGTCATGGACGGGGAGAGAGAGAGAGAGAGAGAGAGAGAGAGAGAGAGAGAGAGAGAGAAAGAGGGAGAGAGAGAAAGAGGGAGAGAGAGTGAGGGAGAGAGAGAGAGAGAGAGAGAGAGAGAGAGAGAGAGAGAGAGAGAGAGAGAGAGAGAGAGAGAGAGAGAGAGAGAGAGAGAGAGAGAGAGAGAGAGAGAGAGAGAAAGAGGGAGAGAGAGAAAGAGGGAGAGAGAGTGAGGGAGAGAGAGGGAGAGTGAGAGAGAGGAGAGAGGGAGAGTGAGAGAGAGAGAGAGAGAGAGAGAGAGAGAGAGAGAGAGAGAGAGAGAGAGAGAGAGAGAGAGAGGGAGGGAGGGAGGGAGGGAGAGAGAGAGGAGAGAGGAGAGAGGAGAGAGGAGAGAGGAGAGAGGAGAGAGGAGAGAGAAAGAGAGAGGGAGAGAGAAGAGGGCTGAGGGAGAGGGGAGGGATGAGACGATACCAGGCGCCGTACCGCCCACGACCTCATTACCAGCACCGATACAGCCCTAGCACCGTAGCAACAAACGATAACACAGTCATCGTCCTAAGCACCGCCCACCGCCAACATTGGAGCGGCACCAAGACACATTGAGAAACATGGAAGGTAAACAATGGCCCCATCAACGAAGTAGCTGAAAACCTTCCACCGAAAACAGTAAAAAAAGAATTAAAATTTTTTAACTCAACTACAAGGTATTAGATAGCGTGGTGAGATACACATACCTAACGGAAAGAATTAAAAGCACTTTCTTGATCAGTGGCACCACACATTTCCGGAACAACGTAACCGAATTACAGCGTTCCTCCCCCCAGAAGCTAATCACAAAACAGCACGACCGTTTATCCGGCTCCGCCGCCGCCGAGAAAAGACGTGCTCGTGTGTGCTCGTGACCTGCCGGACTCGGTGGGCGATTACCGGCGGTCACATGACATCGAACGGCGGTCAAGGTCAGCCGCCTGCGACGCGGTCGCGGGCGGCCTCGGTGCGGGCGGCGGATACTGAGGAGCTGAAGGACTCCATCGTGGAAGCGGTTGTGGCCCGACTCATGCAGTCCGGCCTGGTGGTGCCGACGGCCATGACTCCGGCGGCGGCGGCGGCGGGCGCGGCGGCGGCGTCGGGGGCGGCTACGGAGGCGGTACCGGACGCGGTCGCCGTGAAGGTCGAGTACGACGAGGAGGAGGAGGTCGGCGTCCCGCCTCCGTCGCGGCGTCGGCTCTGGCTGGAGGAGCTGAGAGCTCAGCTCAACGCGTCTCCTCATCTCGGCGTGCGGGAGCGGGAGGAGGCCAGAAGCCTGCTCATTATTGGAGACACGGCCGGCCCGCCCCCTGAGCACCGTTCCTGGTACTGGGGGCGGGTCCGGCTTTTTCTGATCGTTGCGCATCACGGCTGGGCGGCGGCGGTGCGTGACTCACGCGGCTCTGAGATGGAGAGGCTCGGCATCCGTCTGAGCCCCGCCGCCGCCCTGCCGCCCCCCTTGGCGCGCCCGGTCGCCCCGCCGGCCTCCGGGGGGCGGGGGCGGCCCTCTCGCCCGTCCGGACTGCGCGCCCCGTCCGGGGGGGCGGCGTCGGCGGCCGCACCGCGGCGCAAGAATTAGGGCGGTGCTGCGGGCGGCGTTCGGGGCGACGGTTCCGGTGCCCCTTTCCGGCCCCTCGCCGCCTGCGACATCTCCGGAGCCGATCTCGGCCGGGGACGGCGCCCCGGCAGCCCTGCCGGGGCAGATTACTGGAGCTGATGGCGATCCCGAGGACATCTGTCGGCGACTCCTTCAACTGTTGCTGACTGAGGACGGCGGCGCGCCGGTGTCGCCGTGGGCGGCGTCGGCGCCGGCTGGCGACGCGGCGCTGCCGGTGGCCGGCGACGGACGGTGGGGGGCGGTGCCGGAGGATCTGCTGCCGGTTGGCGGCTCGCCGCTCGGTTTCGTCGGCTCGCGTCGGCTGCGTCGGGTGCGGCCTCCGCTTCGAGTGAGAGTGGACCCTGACGTTTTTTCAGCGCACCCTCGCGTGCGTAGCGTTCTCAGCCGGGGCCTGAAGGTGCGCGTGCCGGCTACGGTGCCGGCTGTGTGGCGGCCGACGCAGGTGTCGCCATTAATGACTCAGGCAGTGGCGGACTTTGTGGAGGCTGGTGTTCTGGCGCCTGGACGGCCGAGGGCGTGCTATAGACTTTTTGCAGTTCCAAAGACGCCTGGTGTGGCCCGCGCCGTTTACGACCTCTCTGTGCTGACGCCGTACATGCCGCGCCGTCAATGTAAGCTACCGTGTGTCGAGAGGGCCCTTCAGGCGGCCGCTGAGGGCTACCGTTTTGCGATAAAGCTCGATTTGAGGGACGGCTACTACCATATTCCGTTGTCTCCGGCGGCGTCCGTTTATTTTGGTGTCCTATACAAGTCAAAAACGTATGTTTTTCGAAAACTGCCGATGGGTTTGAGTACAGCCGCTAACGAGATGCAGTGGTTCGCGTGTGCTACAGTTAAAGTCATACAGGAGCGATTTCCCGGTGTTATTGGTCTAGTTTATTTGGACGACTTTTTATTCATGTCTCGCTGTGCCTCACATTTGTCCGGTATTGCTGATTTTCTTGTCAATATAGGTTTTCAGTTGAACTATGCCAAGTCGATTTTGTCGCCTGTTTCCAGACTTGTTTATTTGGGTGTTGAGATCGATCTCAATGCCGGTTGCACGCACGTGGCGCCCGACACCCTGTGTCAGCTGCGCGATGCGCTGTCCGTGTGTAGCGAGCAGTGGCCTGTTTTGTGGCGTCAACGTCTGGCGGGATATTTGAATTTTGTCAGGCCATGTATAAAGATTCCTCTGGAATTAGTGCGCGCGGTTCATGACGGAGACCGTCGAAGTTGCATTGCGTCATTGCCATTTATTACTGATTCGTCACCGCTGACGGCCGCCGATTTGCTCAATTGTCGCGAGGTTCATGAGCGTGCCGTCTATGTCGACGCGACACCTGACTGCATTGGCATCGTTCAACAGGGCTGTTTACCCGTCTCTATTAATTTGTCTGTGTCGCTTCCTATTTATCTTGCCGAATATTTGGCTGCGCTAACGGCTATTTTGTCTCGTGATATGTATCGAACAGTTTTGTATTCGGATAATTTAGGAGTTGTTTTTAATTTACATAAGGGTCGGTGTCCGCGTCCGTGGCTGGCGATTTTATTTTTTGTGTTTAAATCGCGCGCATTTTCTGTTCAATATGTTCCCAGTCATGTGAACCCCGCCGACGCAGCGTCACGTGGTTTTCCCACTGCCTGCCGCAGTGCGGTAGTGGGTCGGCCAATAGCGGGTTGAGCTGCGCGCGCAGCTCCCCGCCACTCGTGTCGGCCAATGACAGGCCGGGTAACTGGTTGGACATGTCATGTTAGCATGGGTATCAGTTACAATACAGATTCTCGGCTCCGCCGCCGCCGAGAAAAGACGTGCTCGTGTGTGCTCGTGACCTGCCGGACTCGGTGGGCGATTACCGGCGGTCACATGACATCGAACGGCGGTCAAGGTCAGCCGCCTGCGACG